AGCACCTCAATGTCCTTTCTGTATTGAGGTGTCCAAAGCTGAGCACAGTTCTTGAGGTGGGACCTCATCAGTGCTGAGTACAGGGGCAGGATTACTTCTCTAGTCCTGCTCACCACATCGTTCCTGCTACAAGCTGGGACGCCATTGGTGTTCGTGAAAAGGGTTTGTTTACAATGAATACTGCACCAAGCAAAGGAATTGTGTTCACCTGGTTTCATACAGTTGTTTGTGGGTGTTACTGCTTGGTGATCTTTCTGTGTGCTCTTTGAAATTAAGTCTGTGCTCTGTCTTGACATATACCAGGGAAGCATATAGATAATCATTCAATAGTTAAATTCAGATTGCCATATTGTCACTGTTAGATAAAGTATTGAATCTGTGCCACTTGTTTGTATTACTTGAGGCCAATTGAGTATGTGGTGCCCTCGTGACCGTACTTGATGTAATTGGTCCTGTGTTTTGCTCCTGAAGAACAAATTTTCACTCCTTTTCTCTCTCTCTCCATTACTCCCCACAAAAAAGAAGCGTGTTATGAAAGAAACCAAGGAAAAGATCATGTGGCATCGTTTTCCATCCTGTTTAGTGGAGCAGAGCTACTGTCTTCTCTGTGCTCTACCAATGTCAAAGGCTACTCCCCTCTCCTTAGAGAGCGATTGTGTCATTTCTATTATCAGGTAGTAAGGGTTTGCTATGGGAAAAGGGACATAGAAAGAAGTGGCCATATGGATTTCCTCCCTTTGTTGTGAAAACCACTGAGTGCTTCAAGAAGAGGACTCAGTTTATCTGTCTACAGCAATTAAATTGCTTCAGATATTAAATGATATGTGAGAAATTGACAGCTTTTTTAGAATAACAGTGATCTGTAAGAATTGTCTGCTCTCGGACTGGTAGAACTTTAGTCTTCCACTGATCATCATAGCAACAAGAATTTTTGTAGAATAGTGGCATGCAGAAGGAGAATGCTGGCTTGTAATGTGCTTGAGAACTACCCCAAGAATCAAGTCTTCAGTGCTGATTACATGTACTTGCTCAGTGTGATTTTTAACAATCTCTGCTTTCGCACGTTTCTGCAACAGTGTGAGAATATTCTAGTGGCATGGATTTTAAAAAGGATTATGTAAAAAAAAAAAAAAAAAGCAACTTCAATATGTCTTAGGGACTTATTTGAAACTGTAAATCTCTGTGTCCTTTTGTAGGCTTGAGTATCACATTGCTTATCTGAATTCTTGGAACAAAACTTCTTCCTGTAAATTATAATCTGTGCATTTTTTTGTTGCTGAGTTTGCTTCTCATAGAGTGAGACGACCAACTTAAGGAAGGCATTTGTGTAATTTGGGTCATGTCTTTATGGCAAGAACGTTGTTGGATGGCTTCTATGTATTTCCCTAACGTGCACTGAGAATGCTGAATCTTTTATTCATTTTCAATGCTGTTTCTCAGACTTCAACTTCTTCCAACGTTAACTGGCTTCATTGCTGATTCATATGGAGATGCGGCAGTCTACTTTGTGATGATGATTTGAAATTGAACTAAAATACAGACCAGATAGAGTTTCCCGTAAGAAAAATAAATAAAACATCTCCTTTTCCTTTCCAGGCAGTACTTAAAAAAATAAAATAAAAAAATCAATGTCACTCTCTGTAGAATTATCATAAGATCCATTCAGGAGAGCAGCTTTGTTTTTTGTTTGAAATGACCTAGAATGCATCTCCATTGCCCTTGCAATCAAGCTCAGATGAAGCTTTGCTTTCCAAGGGAAGTCCTAAGCTTAAAGACCAGTCAGGAAATAATTTATACTCCAGTTTAACCTGCTAGTGTTTGCAGTGTTTGTAATCCTACCACAGAACCCAAAACCAAAGATACAGCGTATGCTTACTGAGCGGCTGTGGGATCTGCACAAAGTCCAGGTTTCTCTTTTGAAGCTGGAAGCTTTCCCTGCTGGCTTTACTGAACATGTTTTCCCTTGATACTGTTTCTGCTCCATATCCAAGCACCAAGTGGAGAGCATCCAGAGAAATTTGGAAGGGTAGCTTTTACCTTTTAACCCTTTTAAAGGTGTTTGAACTTTCTCTTTGATTTGCATAGGATTTGAGAATGGTAGCATTGATCTAAGTCCTGGAGTCACAGTGAAGGCAATCTGTCAATACACATGAGAAAATCCAGATTGTTCTTGTCTTCATCATTTCCTGGGCCTCACACAGGCACTGTGACCCGGTGTACATATACCTTAAATGAATGGAGAACTGCATTGTCTGCTCAGTTTGGCATGAGATGACTTTAATGTTTTCCGCATATGTCTTCTCGGTAACATTGTCCTTCCTTCTTTTTCCAATGATACCTCTTAGTTTCTGATGTACCCGCTGCGTAGATTATTGGGTAAGTTTATGGATTTACTTTGGTCTCTGCGCAGAATTTGCTGGATCGTTCTGAACTGTAGTCAAAAGACTCCTGCAAAGATTTTTAGCATCTGAACTTCTTAGTCCCTCTGTTGTTGTGACAGTTTGTCTCCCATAGCATCTAGATTTTTTCTCTTGTAACAGTAAACAACTTCAAGGCTTCAGCTGGTTCCTTTTGTCAGCTTGAGAGCATTGACAACACACTTAACCCAGCCATTCAACTATCGTATTTGAGATCTGTTTTGATGAATTAAACACTAGCAGTGCTTCCACCTTTGGCTAAACTAATGTGTTGTAATGTTTCTGCAAACCGGAGGGGTTCCTAGAAGTCTCTTGGGTCAGCTGCACTTTGTCTGTTGCTGTTTACGTTAAATCTAGGACGTAAATATGGTGTTGAGAGCTTGCTTGTTATAGTTAGGCTTTATCAGCTTTGAGATGTTTGTGGCTTGATGGGTGCAGAGAAGTGTGACCAGGGAGAGAAGTATGTAGAGAGTGGTAGTGATCCCCACAGATAAATAAGGCAGGCAGCAGCTGTTGGTCTGGATTTGTGTGTGCGTTTTCAGCATCTGCTGTTGAGTCTGGTTTAATTGTTTTAACCAGCTCATGATTGAAACAGTAAACTGCAGCTTTCAGCAGCTTGATTCTGGTAAATTATAAAGTTCATTTGTGGTTTTTGTTGTGAAACTACCCCTTTCATTGTCTGGCTTTCTTCTTCGACGTTGTCAACTGGAAAAAAAAAAATTGTTTTTTGGCAGTTATTACATTGGCATTAATGGATGGTGGCCTCACTGAGAGATACTGTTTATTATTGTGCAGAGAGTCTGATATTTTTTGAAGTTCTTTGTGAACAGACTAATTGTTTCCAAGCTGATTTTCTTAAAGAGAATAGAATGATAAATGGGATTAGAGCGAATGAGGGCACATGTGTAAAGCTAGCCATTGGCAGTTGAGGCTGCGCAGGGAGAAACTTTATCTGTCCTTTAAAATGCTTTACCGTTGAAATGGACGGGACTTGTTTCATCCGCTGGCCTTGGCAGTGTAAATGTTGTAATCCTTCATGTGTTCCTGTGATTTCTTGGATTTGAGAAGCACGGTCTTTTGAATCCTTTTTTGCTGCCAGCAAGAAATCAAAACTAAGGACCTGTCCATTCACTGCTCTTATCTTCTCCACTTTCTGAAATTATGCCCGAGTCTGGAATTTCTAGCGCTCAGCCTGTTCCAGGGGAATGTCCTACTGGATTAATGCTGTCTGTGATATGGTTTTCTTCTCTTCCTTCTACCTGAAACTTTATCTCTGCTGTGAAATGGTTCAGGATTTTGTCCCTGGCAACTATGTCACTAGTTTCTTTACCTACTGTGGCTGAAGAGTTTTTTTTTAAATTACGTTACAAACATCCATGGGATTAATGTCCACGGGTTCAGGGTGTGTGGGAAGGAAATTATACCAGCAGGGGCCAGCGAAAACATCTTGTCATGGGACCTATCTGCAAAGAATTTTATCCAGTATGTTGCTGATAGGGAGGGACCTGTGTCTGGGGTCCTTCTAAATGACTGTAGCCTTCCTGTATGTGAAAAACTGCCTCCAGATTGCTGTCACCTGGAGGCACACCTGCCTGTTGTCCAGGTTGTTGCTGAAGGCGTTAGTCAGTACCAGCCCCGTACCAGCTTTTGAGGAACGCTGCTTACAATCACCACTCAGTAGTGCAATTGAACTGTTTTGGTCAGTGCCTCCTGAGCTCCAGTCGAAGTAGCCTTGCAACTGCCTTGGGTTCTTCCCTGGCTCTCAGCAGCCAATGCAGCTCCTGGGAGAGCAGGTTCTTTCTCTGCAGCTAGTTGCGTTAGTGCAGTGGTACCAATGGTTTTCTAGAAGGAACGTACCAGCCTCTTCTTCTTTCAGAAGGAATGGGATGGGATGAGCTTGTCTATAAGCTGATTACGATCAGTCATTGCCTTTTATTTTGTAAAGCAAAACTTACAAAGCCAATGATGGGTAAAAGCAAATAGAAGTGTTTATTTAGAAAACTCAAAAGAATATTGTTGTAAGGCTGGAAGAGATGATTAAACAAAGAAGCAATGACAACTGTGACTATATTTGACTCGTGTTTAGAACTCCACTTTCCTTTCACAACAAAAAGATATTTATGAAAGCCATTTAGATTTATTGGCCATTACCCTAATCAGGAAAAAATGTTTACCTTTCTGCTATTTTATGTTCCTTAGTTTTAGAAACATGTATGTCCCTTGGGCTTGGCCAGATGCAATTACTACTTGTCTACACGTAATTAGGACCAATTTACTGTTATTTTAGCGCTAGGCTAATATTTCTTATTTATTATTTATTAATTATTATTTATTATATAATTATTTATTATTATTTATTAATTTATTTATTTCTTATTTACAGTTGATTGTTGAATCCCTACAAAACAGCTTTGCAGCCAGCTTCTGTTGTATGTCTTGATGCCTTGTCTTGATGGGCTTCTTGTTTCTTTTCTTTATTTCTTTCTTGTGTGAATTTATTTCTATTGCATAGACAGTTACTCATAGATTTAGTTACCATTTGAAATGCTAGTTTCAAATCTTTTATGATTTTTACTTTTACAGGTATCTGAAGAGACAAGGTATCTTGCTGCAACTTCACTAAGGTATCATTTAAGATCTTTTTTTATCAATTTTTGCTTGCACTCCTTTCAGATTCACCAATAAGGTTGCTTAATTTAGATGTTATATTTTTATCAGGCTTGGGAACCATTTATACTGATGTGACTTTACTAATATTATGATGTTCTCTCTAATGTTGTTTTTTTTTTGCTGGGTTGTTTTGTTTGTTTGTTTGTTTGTTTGTTTGTTTTGCTCATTTACATCTCTGTAAATATTCTGTGAATTTACTTGCTGTGAATTCAGGTAGCTGCAAAGTATGCATGGTCACTGCTTGTAGACAGTCTTTCTTCAGAGAAGTCTTGCTATATGCTATCAAAGAAACCGAACAAAAAAAAGGCCTTTTGCATATAACGTTAATTCATCCTGGTATTTGCTGTCCCAAGCTAACATATCTAAGCCTACATTCATGCTATTAAATGTTTTCTTGGTGCCCATATTCTGAAAACCATTATTGGTGAATATGGAATCAATTTCCCCCAATCACTGCCTCCTTATTCCTGTGTGAACAAAAGGGTGGAGAGTAGTGCATCAATCTCTTACAGGAACTTACTGGTGCTTAGCACTTCTACCAGAAGTTGCTCTTTACTGAACAGTGACCTATGTAACTCTAGGAGATCAAGAAAAAAGGCAGCTCTCCGTACTAGAAAATGCTAGTTCATTTTCATCTCATTTGTTTTTATCATTTATTGCTTCTTTCTGGGGATAAAAAAGAAAAAAGAAAGAAAGAAAAAAAAACAAACCAACAAGAAAATCCTCTTCATGCAAGCCTTTACTTGCTTAGCATTTATTTAAAAGTAAGTGATATTGCATGTTATTTTTTATACAGTACTCATCGCAACAATATCACTGAGTGCTTTCTAGAATATACTTTCCAGAATATGCTAGTGATGTACATGACATTTGACATGTGGTTTACTGACTTTCATGTTCAAACAGTGAAAATTGTGAGGGTAGTAGTGAGTTTAGTTTTGGAGAAGTTTGGACAAAGAAGAAAATTTTCTTTAGCCTTTAATTGAAATTTCTAGAACTTTACTGACTCTTCCGCAATTCTTCCTGAATTATTGGACAGTTGATGGCTGCTGCCTTTTGCTGGTAATCCTAGCAACAGGCAGAAGGCAATAGCATTTCAGCATTTATTCTTGCTCCTTTGAAGAGCCTTAAATGACAGCCAACTTCTCTTTACTGAGAAGCAATAAATGAAACCAAGAGATGATAAAATTCAGCTTACCAGTGTTAAATAATTCACCATTCATATGGACTAATAGTTTCCACCAGATTTATAGTCACACTGCGTGACTGGTGTGACACTTGTTTTTATTGTATGTGGAAGGTGCCTACCCTCAGATGAGAGGAATCACGACTCAGGCAAACCATTGGCAGGACAAGCTACACATTTGTATTGCTCACAGTTTTGTTAGCAAAGATAGTTTAAATGATCAGTGTGGAGCCCTTACATTCTAAATACTTACTTGCATTTTGAAGGTTGATTCATTGTTTTCAGTAATGGTCTGTCTAGATATATGGATCTGTATGAATACTCAGCTATTCTTGTTCTGGTATTGCAGTGGCATTTCTTGTCGATGAGAGGAACTCGTCTCTCTCTTCCCACACAAACAGAGCGCAGAATGGAGCTGTAGTATGGACTTCTTTCAGAAAGACAGCAACAAAAATAAGACTCAGAGTAAAGGTTAGCAAATCATTTCTTATTCTGTTTGAAGGTTTTCTTTGGTGTCTGTATACTTGTTACATTTCAGTCCTGTTAATATTTGTATGGAGGACTTCTTCAACAATTTTTGCCTTTCTCAGTTTTACTTTGTTACTCAAACTCTCTGGTATTCATTATTGTATGGTTTGGTGCAGAGCCAGGCTATAAGTTCTAAGAAGGCCATTTTGCAAACTATTAAGGTAATAATTAATTGCGATTTAAAAACAAATACGTTTCCCCCATTTTCATTTCTTAAATTAGTCTTGAATTGTAGCATTGGGACTGTAATTGTCATGGTTTCTTCCTCAACACCTATTCTAAAGGTCGGAAATGAATCATGGTCTTTATCAGAGTGGCTTGCGATGCTAGTAAAGCTGGCAATTTGAAGAAAGGCTCTGGCCTCACTACAGATACCTGGCACTGAGGTGGTAACCAGAGAGGCAGAAAGAATGGGAAATATGATGAATGAGAGCACTTTCTGTAGCTGGAGATGCTGAGAGGTGCTGTGTTTGATTCAAGAATTGGAGTCCTTATAGGAAGCATACAACTATAAAGGCAGGTGGAAGGATGCAGTTATGGGTCACAGTAAGGAAGGTGTAATAGGATGGCAGAATTATTCAGAAAAGAGAAGACAAAATAGTCTTCTCTAAAGAAAAACTAAAATAGTTTTTGTGGAAACAAAAGTTTCCACAGTAAAGAAGAGGAAAAAAGATGACAGATGACAAGTAGATGTAGCATGTTATGCTGAACTATGGAAACAGATTAATTGCAAAGTCTGGCTTCCTGTTTTTAATATATTAGGGAAAAATATTGGAATTAATTCCTGCTTCAAGGATACAAGAATATTTGTAATTGTAGTAGCATAGCATAGTTGGTCCTGGTTTTATTTTATTATTTTACTTATCTCATTAATATCCTCAGCAGGGAATTGTGGTAATGTTCTCCCTTCAGTCTTTACAGATGTCGTCTATCATAAAATGCTCTGGAAGACTTGAGCATCTAGGTAGATCATCTTTACTGCTTCAGATAAACCTTTATTAGGCGTTTCTTCCCAAAGAACAAGAGAATACTTTTTGTCCCAGTAACTGCTTGCTGAGTTTATTCCACACACTCTGGGTGAAGGGTCCTAATTCATTCATCTCATGATTGAATTCTATACCCTTTTTTATTACAATTCATCTACAATCCACTGGGTTATGGGACTGAGAGTGCTGAATAGTGTATTGTCAGCAATTGACTATTTATTTTTTTACGGCTGATAATTATGTAAGAATCAACAAAATAGTTCTTTGATGCCTCTACAATACTGCATGCTTGTCACGTGGCCACATATATTTAGTACTCTTCTAAATACCAACAGACATTTTTTTTCTTGAAGAGTTTCATCTGACACACTGATTTGCAGTAAGAAAAACCTTATTGACAATTTATATGATACAGAAGGTTGGCAGACTGGTTTTAAATTAAATTTAGAGCAGGAAAGGATTGCAGAGAAGAAGGAAGAATAGTGTAGGGGGAAAAAAAAAAAGCAAGAACCAGAGAATCAGAATTTGAAGTCACACAGTCATTTGGGATTTCAGTCACTTTGAGTTACAGAATGTTCTGTTATTCATACTGTTTTAATTGGCACGTTAAACGCTTTAACAAGAACAGTTCATGTGCAAGTCTCTCTTATCTTTGAGAAGATATGTAATGAAAAAGACTGTTGTGAGAATGCAGAATGAACTTTATTAACATGGCGTAATGGAAAGCATTGCAAAACATACAGGTCACCATTTGATTGTCTAGGCAGTGGATTTTCCTCTTTTTACCTTTTAGAAATTATTTTGCTGGCTTATTCATCACTTTTCAGCTTCCTAAGTGCAACTTCAAAGTCCATTTCCAGGACCCAACTGTGCTGTTTTCCTACTATAAAAAAGGTTTTCAAATCAGTTGATTTATTTCTGACATTTTTATCCTAATGGATATGAGAATGTGACTCTTATACATTACTGTCACTTAGCACTGAAAGGGCCTAACACATCAACCCTGAGGCTAGGCATTCTTCTGTATGCCAGCACTTGTGGGAGTCACTGTTCATTTTGTCACTGTGCTATATGCTAGAAATACAAACGTAATTAACTGGGTGGTTTTTATAGGAATGCTGTTTCTTGCATGTCAATGCAGTTTGCAAGTAAAAATATGTATTTCATGCTGGAAAAAAAAACAAAAAAAAAACAAAGCAAAACAAGAACAAAAAAACCACTTGTGCATATAACATTCCCTCTTGGTATTTTTTATCCGTCCCTTCATGATTCTGATTTCATGCTTATGAATTGCGGGTATTTCTAATACTTCCATAGACAAATCTCCACCTGAAATCTCTGTTCTCCATCTGTCCCTTGTGTTACACAGTTGGCGTACTTGAATTGCTGCTTGCTTCATGTTGTTTAATTATTTAAAGTTCTGAAATATTTCTAATTGTTTATCTTAGGGGAATTGATGCCAACCTATTATCTAATACCACTGCAAAAAAGCTTTTGCGAAATGGAAGGCCTTGCGTTTTCCTTGGTGAATGAGCTCTGATTTCTGTAGCCAAGAGAATTCTTTAGTTGAAGATTAAATTTAATCCTATCCCCAACCTAATTAGCTCTACCTCGGTTTTTAGCCAGTTGCAGCACCCTATGGTCATGACACCTAAAATCATATGCTTTTAGGCCCCTGAAACTGCAGAAGTTTATCTGAGCAGTTAAGAAAACTCATTCGTTAAGAATTACTCAAAACATGGTCAGACACACTTAGGCAAATTAATCCCTGATGTAATTTCTCTGACTCAACTGGACTTGCAACAGAAGTTGATACAGGCATATTTTGCTTCCTTTAAAAAATTAATTAAATAAATAAATAAAAAGAGCAGGAAAGAAGGGCAAAGGACCCACAAACAGTTCCTTGGATGGTTAATTTCAGAAATTTGTCAATATTTACACGCAGGGAGGCTGGGGAAATGTGTCAGTCATCATTAACACTGCACCTTTTCTTTACACTGGGACTATTAAACAGATGTGGATATTGAAAGTCTGACTCTCCTCAGAATTTTTATCTTTTTCCTTAATTCTGATCTGAACAGAGACTTTGACCATTTCTGTCTTTACACTACTAAGTACAGTTAACGTTGTTCAATGCTGACCAGTGTGTGTTCTCAGCTCCCATGCTCTTAGCAAGAAAGAGGTCTCTAGGCTCAAAGCTTACAGGCCACGTTGCAAGAGCTTGGATTAATGGACATAATTTCACAGGGGAAATAGGTTTTTTTTTTTAATTATTCCCTTGCATGATGTTTTAATGAAATAAGAAAGCTGAAATGCTGAAAAATAGGAATGTAAATACAGCTTCTAGTATTCCAAGGGCTAGAATAGATTTTTTTTTTATTACTGAGATAGTGACTTTGATACCCATGTTCAATGGAATTGAACTAAGGCAGAAAGATCTCAGTGTCCTCGTGGGTCGATTTCACAGGAGCCCGATGGTAAATGAAGGATAATCAACTTGTGTGGGAGAGAAATGGTCATATTGCTTCAGTATCCCTTCAGTTTTTCAACTTTGACCTTCGCAGTAACTGAAATCGGCTCCTTCCAAGAAGATAAATATTCTCTTCTGTTAGATAAGCAGTTGAGAAGAATTACTCTAAGGTAGATGAAAAATAATCACAATGAGGGAATTGTTTACCAGTCACAAGTTCAGGCAAATTGTTCATAAAAACTTCTGTGGCCATAGTATTGTAAAATGCTTGAAATTTGTGTGTGGATGCTGCAACTGCAGTCATGCCTAGAATTACCTTCAAAGTGAGCAAGGTAGCACTGTATTTCTGCAATGAACATGGCCAGAACAACCTCCATAAGTACATGGCTGCAATCATATAAAACTTATGTCGCTTAAAAATGAGAGAGGTTTTAATGACAAAATGAAGAAAACCTTCTAGGGGAGGGTGGAAAAGCCAGCCCCAGAATGTTAGTGTCTTGTCCTTAGTGCAGCTATATGATGTATCTGAGTCTCTCTTCTTGGAGCAAAGCAGCATCTGTTCTGCAAATAAAGCACGAAATACTGGTTTGAGGGCAGATGTGTACATTGTTACTAATGCCTGATATTAATACAGGTTTAGTTTTTTTCTGTCCTGATACAAATTTCATCAAACCTTGCATAGTCTAGTGCTGAGTAAACTGGTAGAGGCTGCATTCCAAACAGTGTAATAATTAGTCTCGCCCACATGGATAAACATTTTCTTTCCGCCCACCATTGTAAACCTTTTTTGCTTACCTAGGACATAAGTTTCATATGGTTGCAGCCATATACTTATGGAGGTTGTTCTGGCCATGTTCATTGCAGAAATATGCTAGCCTAGGTTCATGCAGTCACTGAAAGAGATGTCTATACTGGGAGTAGCACTGGTGTGCTCAGCTGGATCAGGAGGCTTGTTTCACCAAAAATTAATCGCTCTGTTACTGTTTAGGTTTGGATTTTTTTCCTTCCTTCTGAACTGTTTATCAGCCAGTTCAGTTTTCCAATCCCAGAGTTACTTCGCTGTTGCCAGCGGTGGGAATGTGCAGGCAGGGGAGCCAGAGGCCTTTATTTTCAGCAGCAGCATTAAAAATAGATTAATTTTAACCTATTTTGATGCTGTACCAGTTTATACCAAAAAACATACTTTATGTATCTGTCTAAATGCAATCTATGAAGGCAGGAGTATCATTTTTTTAATATTTGTCACAACCTTTACTGCATGTAGATCAGACTGTAGCTGATTTTTCATTGATTTCTAAAGTTGTTGTGGATAGTACGTATCTGTGATGTATGATTAGAAAAATCCATTTACTTTATGTTTTTCAAGAAATTAAAATCAATATGCTATATTCGGTATTAATATGACTACGTGAAATGGCATCAATACTTTTTGTTCTATTTGCAAATACATTAGGAAATTTCAGGAACTTGTGGGTTTTTTAGTGAGA